TGCTTATCACCCTCATGTATGTGTCAACTTTGGCTAATATTGGAAATTTAATATAAAAAAACAATCACCTTAATATGTGATGTTAGACAACATGTTTAAATTCAAATGTTAGAAAATATGTATTTTGGTTATGTTGCTGATTTTTGGAACTTTTTTAACTGTTTGGAACTTATATACATGAAATTATGGAGTATTGAACATGTCACATGTGTTACATGTGCACCACTATGTTGTTATTTTGAAACTTGCTAATGTACTTATTATTGATTATTGATTTTTAGAACTTCATGAGTTTTTACCAATTTTAAGACAAGAAAAGAAACCGTAAAACCCGGACCGGACCGACCCGTTTCAAACGGGCCGGGTAAGGTCTGGTTCCTATTTTGAAAATTGCAATACCCGGACCGGACCGTACAATGGATCTGGCGCAATGGCGGTTTCATTTCATTTTGCATTACCCGATCCCACTGGCCCGTGCCCAGCCTAATAATAGGTCAGTCGGTAAACAAAGCAGAGTAAACAGACATTTCATCTTCTCCGATTACTAGTAATCCTTGATACTATTGATATTCTAAATATTCTACTTGATTTGATAATCAATAGGAGGCGAAGGGTAAGCCACACAGGTGTTGACCGGAGGCGGTGTGTGTGGCGGAAGGGGCGGTTGAGGCCGGTGAAGGTGGAGGCAAAACTTCGGAGACGTGGCTATGGAGGCTGGGCGGCGAAGATGGTGGCTAGAGAGGCCGGGACAGCGGAATCCGTTCCAGTGGGATCGATGGAGGCAACAAAAATGGAAGAAAGTAACCGGATTTACAGTGGAGACAAGAACGAAAGGAAGAAGCGAACAAGGGGGAGCAGGTAGGGATGGCAATTTAGCCCGACCCGACGGATACCCGCACCGAACCGAACCGGTCAAAATGGGGAAAACTGCTTTGACTGGGTAATGGGTACGGGGCGGGGAATACCTGATTTATGTAAACGGGTAATGAGGCAGTTATGAGTTTATACCTACCCGCCCCGTTACCCGCCCCGTTTAATTTGGATACGGTTACCCGCACCATTGTCCGACCCGCACAATTAACTTATATATTTTAATAGTTTATGTATTTATTATTTAATATATTAAGTATATATGAGTAGTAGTACATTAGTATATGACACTTATTCCCTCTAATACTTTGAAACAATATTCAACTTATCGGTTATCCTTTGCAATTATGAGGAATTGGTGCTCAAAGTTCACTATTTTAGATTTTAAATTTTCAATACCATTCATAATCCTTCCTTTGTTAACTTGTACAAGATTTATTTTCTTCACATATTGATTATTTGATTTTTGTGATTTTCTTTACGCAATTTTCACATTGTGACTCTCTTAATTTTTCACCCAATAACTTTCATAAAACTCACTTATGAGTTTAAAGTCCAAATATTTTAGATTACTCTACCTTGCTTTAATTTATGGAATTGCTAATAATTTTGTAGAGGTGTATTGGATGATTAAATTGATTTTGATTGGTTGCTATAATTTATATCAAGTTTTAAATTTTAAATTATGATTTTGTGGTACTATTTAATTTTGTTTTTAACTCTATTTAACTCTATCTGTGGTACTATTTAATTTTGTTTTTTTTAGTTTAGGTGGTTAATGATAAGTAGTTAATCATCATTTTAGGATTGATACTAATTTTGAAGGGAAAATATTATTTTTTAATGAAACGGTTACCCGCGGGGAAACCGTTACCTGCGGGGAAAACCGTTACCCGCGGGTAAAAAATACCCGACGGGTAACGGGGCCGTTTCGGGGAAAATTTTTATCAAACGGGGCGGGTACGGGTAATGGTATACCCGTCCCCGAACCGCCCTGTTGCCAACCCTAGGAGCAGGGGACTGAGAGGTGAGAGGAGAAGAGGAACGAGCCAGGAAGAAAGAAAGAGAAAAAGAAAAGAGGAAGAGAAAAAGAAAAATAAAGAAAAGAAAAAAACGGAAAACAGTAATAAAAGAACGCTAGCCGGACATCCACATAGGCAACTCACCAGGTGACCGGTTAGCTACCTACCTACTACCTCCGTCTAATCATGGACCTGGGCCGGGTCCAAGACTACCTCCGTCCCAAAAAATTCTTCTCACTTAGCTTATTGAGATTTCCCAAAAAACATTTCATACTCCGTATTACCCATTTTGGAAAGATTTGTGTAACTTTTGGGAAATATGAAATCTGGATTCAACTACACAAATCTTTCCATAATGCGTACCCATTTGATTCAGGCCGGGTCCAATTACCTTTTTCTTACTAACCACAACCACACATTTCCACTTTATTCCTATTTAAACTTCGATCCAAGTCTAACCGGGAAGAATTTTCCGGGACAGAGGGAGTATTAAATAGCAAATTTGGTCGTGTTTTGATAGTTTGCGGACTCGATTGACTCGAGAAAACGAAGATAGACTCAATTGACTCGAGAAAAAGTAGATAGAGTCAATTGACTTTTTGTGAAAAATAGGTGGACCTATTTGACAGTTTTCCCTTTCATCTTCCATTATTTTTAAATGCTAGCGGACAGATAATTTTCTTAGTAAGGTATACCCTATTAATTAATTAAGTGTTAACTCAATTTTTCAAAGTTTGGAATAAACTATTAATGGTTGCTTTCACTCAAAGTTCCAATGAGCATGTCAGTTTGTAACATTTCTATCGCCATTCATTAGTATGCCTAGTATATCCATTATAAACTAAGTGTATTGAGAATGTTAAACAAAAATGTTTCTAGAATAACGTAGTTCTTGCAACATTTTATAATGGATTAACACCAACCCTTTGAAAATCTGTATGGATCAATAGTCAATACTCCATCCACAATATCTACGTACCCTTATACCTGAATCCAGATGGACACGCATTGTCGGTTTCCAAATTTCCTTACGTAACTTTTGGTTATACACATATGCATGGTTATATTATATATGAGTCCTCAACTTTATATGTTACTCCGTATCAGATTTGGTCCGTCACCAAGAAGTCTATCCATTTTTAGAACATTTCCACCTTAATATACACATCCCATCAAGACACATACCGGAAGCGACATCGCTGTTGCCAAATTTCCCTCACTAGAAATGTACTTCCCGGTGAAACAGTGTTTTATTATGGTGAACCAATTGATTAATTACTCCGTATAAGACGTGTTTGGATCTAATTCTTACAATTGTTTCTGCTTTTTCAGGGAGCAAAATCAAAAGTTGAAGTGTTTGGATGAAAGTGCAAAAATACTTATGGTGCTCAAATTTACTCCTAGCAGAATCAGTGTTTTAGAAATTGGGAGAGACCGACTTCTAAAAACTGATTCTGATTCTACTTCTGCTTTTAAAAAAGAAGCAGAAACAGAATCAGTTCCAAACACCCCTAAATATGCAGGTGAGGAACAACTTTTTTATATACCGAAAGCAGACACACTAAATCTACATTTTAATCACAGAACTAAATTGAATGGGGGATGAAGTGGTGTTTTTGAGTACTGACATATTGGTAAGCTATAAGTATTAGGTGCTTTTATCATTGTTGTTAATAATTAATATCTTAACCATAAATTTATGTCCTATTTGGGACAAACTCACAAACACCTACCTGTTGTGTTTTCATACTAGGTATATGTCAAACATTTCTCTCCCAATTAAATTTTGAACTTGCTTCTAAGAATATTACAGTATGAGCTTCTTTTTTAAGCATATGGGTTTTTAAATCTGAGTAGATCTTAACAGGGACGGAGCCAGGATTTTATTGGAGGGGGGCAAAATGTACTAAATAAAACAAACTATCAAATGTACCGTATAAATAGAGGAACACATTGTATTAAAATTTGTTGTGTAGTTGTGATGGAAGTAAATCCACCGGAAAATAATTAATAAGGAATAGCCGAAAATAATTAAAGCACTCAGAATAATACTTAGAGAGATAAATGTATGTAGTGTATTCAGTGTATTGGGCTTGCCCATTCTTACAAGAGTTGCATGAATTTATAATACAAAATTGAGACAAGAAATATTCGGGCGACGTGGTCACCATGCCTGAATTGACGCGCCACCATCTTGTGATTTGTGGGGCTGATAGCAAGTTGACCCGTGATCTCCGAGATTTGTTGTTGGTCACATAGCTTCTTGGAAGTAACATTATGCATGTGCAATGGTCTAAGCGGTTGTGCATCACGCGCGTAGAGGTGCACCATGTAATGCTCAGCGTGCCATATTCAAATCCTATGATGGAGGTAAGACTGCGTTGCGCTCAGCATGTCATGTTTAAGCCTCATTGTAAAGATAAGACCATGTCATGCTTAGCACGCCATATCCTTTTGAATGTGACTCCATGTTCTCATCCCGAATATGCTGACTATGTATCTCCTTGGGCCTGATGTCCCTATTCGTCTCGTCCGTCCCATTTACGAGGTCAGCCCGCATTCAATCGAGCTTAGCATATTGGGCCGGTATTTATGTCATCACAAGCCCCCCACTTCCCAAGCCGAGTAATAAATCGGTGAGAGGAAGTATACATCAACTACTCAAATAAAGACCACCATCTCATCTGTGTTAAGCACGTTGATGCCGAGCTCGTCGCTAGAGTAGTATGCCAATGGTCCTCGCTTCCGTCTGTGTTGAGGATGTCACCCCATAGGTTGTATGGGGTGTTACTCCAAGAAATAAATAATTAGTACACGTTGATCATGTCACTCCCAAGGCGTGCAGAGCATGTTGCTCCTAAGGCGTTACACCCAATAACCAATAAAGCGTACATGCTAACCATGTCAATCCCAAATTCAAGGCTTGGTGAGCATGTTACTCATAAGGGGTTACACCAAATAATAAATAAATCGTCCATGCCGAGCATGTCACCCTTATGACTCGCTGAGCATGTCGTCCCTAAGACCCGCTGAGCATGTCATTCGTAAGGTGTTCACCAAAACAATAAATAAATTGTCCATGCTGAGCACGTCACTTAGAGTATATACCGAGCATGTCACTTAGTAGTGTAGTAAGGATATTCATCTTGTACATGCTGAGCATGTCACCCCAAGTACAATATCAATAGTCTTTCATTTGTACATGTTGAGCATGTCAGACCACGATATAACACCATAAGCCTTCGATTCATACATGCTGAGCATGTTACTTCTAAATTTCCCAATCAAGATCATTTGTTGATGCTCATCATGTCTCTTATATTACTACCCCTCATTTTTAACTCAATCATTAATTTGCTCCAGCATGTAATTTTATATTATTAACCCAATGTTGTTCATCTTTTAGGAACTCCAACAGTCCAACCCAGTAGCTACACCGCAGAGGACATGCCGCCGCCGTGCCGGAGTGATTCGCCGCCGCCCCGGAAACACTGACCGCCACTTCCTCCGAGACCTGACTGCCGCTGCCCTGGAGAAATTGAATATCGCTGGTTTGAGGAAGGTCGCCATAGCTCTGAGAAATAGAACCGCCGGCCTATTGAACCGCCAGAACGGCCCGCCGACTGTGCCTTGCTGCTACGCCCTGTCACCGGCCGGAATCTCTGGCGCCGTTGTCTTCCTTTGTCGACTCCAGGCCAAGGCCAGAGAGAGCCGCAGACCAAGGTCGGAAAAAGTCGCAGCCCTTCTTCCATTCCGCGAGTGGTTGACGAGGTCGATAGTTCGACGCAACACCGCACGCCGCCACTACTGACCACCGCCATCTCCCTTCGTTCCTGGTCCGCTCCATCGCCGGTCTGGTCGGTCTTCATCTCAGTCGCCCCGCTGCTGCGCGAAGCTTTCTGCCGAGCAGTTCAGTCCGCCCCAGGAAGGTAAACTCCATTCCTTATCCTATTTTGACTTTTGTTTTTAATTTTGACCTCTCTTTTCAATTTAGCTTTGTCATTTCGTTTTTTGTTTCTCTTATTTTCTTTTTTGAAATGTTAGAACTTAGATGATGATATTCCTCTTCCTTTACCTTTTTTTGTAGGCAACTAGCCAACGATTTTTTATTTATTTAATTAATTAATGATTTTTCAATTTTTTTTTTGTAATTAGCTGCTGATTCCTTTTTTTCAGTAATTAGCTGCTGAAATGTACTACCTCCGTTCTTAAATAAATGCAACATATGAAATTTTATACTATTCACATGGTCTACTCTGACTACATTTTATTTATTAATTTATGAATATATTTTTATGATAAACAAATATTGTTAAATTTGTCTCATTGTAAATTTTCAATATCTAATTTTTTTAAAAACTTTTTTACTAATATAGATTTATAGTAGTATATATTAATGGTCAAAGTTGTGTCTCGGTAAGTGTGAAATGTTGACCGTTGCATTTTAAAAACGGAGAAAGTATTTTATTTTTAATTTTGCTAATTTCTATTTATTTGTATTTTAGCTGTCAATATCTTATGGATGTACTGGACTCCATAGACTTAAGCGAACTTTCGGAACCGGTTAGTGGAACGGCTTTGGAAAATGTACCTTGGATATATGATAATTCTGACATTGAGGTAGCTAGTCCAGAATCTCCAATAGTTGACTTGGTGAGACTGAAAAAATGTCGCCCTCGTGGGCTATACGTTCCTTTAGATGCGACTCACATTGAATCAATGAATCATGCAAATCACGACTTTCATTTTCTGAGTTTGAAAGATATCGGGGACTTTTCCGGTCCGATGTTACCGTGGTTATCCCGAACCGAGATGACATAGTCACTGAGCCCCCTGAGGGTGATTTTTTCGGGATACATACCCTCTCCGTGAGGCTAGGATTTAGGCTCCCCGTGCATCCTTTCATCACTGAGTTCCTATGTGAGCTTGAGATTCCTCCGTGCCAGCTCACCCCATTTGGTCACCAGTACCTGGTGGCATTTTTGGCCCGATGTAAGGAGATCGAGGTTAAGCCGTCTCTAGATCTTTTTAAGCACCTGTTTAAGGTTGGTCAATGCTCCCGAGCTAATAGTCTGTCATGGGTATCTATTTCCCAACGTGCCCACCTTGACGCGTGGAAAGTTTCGCACAGTAAAATCAGTAATTGGAAGGAAGAATTCATCTTTGTGTCTACCGGACATGCTCTCCCCTTCCCCACAGTTTTCAGCCCTCATTATAAGAAGTTTGCGTGTCTCACTCTTCCCGCCGATCAAGAGTTTTGGCCGGAAAAGTTCTTAGCGGGTGGACCGTTTAGCATTTCTACATATACTACCGAGGACCATTTGAGCAGACTTGGTTTCCTCACCTCGGGCTTGTGCTCACCATCGGACATCCTCGCCCCCCTTTCTTTAGGCCCAGGTTGTCTACGCTCACCGTGCTCTTTTTGGAACAAGATCCTTCCCCTGATTAACAAATTAATATATGTGTATATTATTTATTTATTTATTCTTACAGGTATGACGTCCCGTGCGGAGAGGTTCAAGAAGATGAATGGAGAAGGGTCACATGCGTCCGCTCAAGACCCACCGAGCAAGAAACAAAAGGCCATACTACCCGCCTCGCAAGGTGAAGGTGTCTCGTCCCCTTCTATGCCCATTACCAACGACCCGGTTACCAAAGAGACACGGCGCATCACCCGGAGCACTAGTGGTGCTCGTGATGTCATGCTCAAGGAAGGACTGAAGAGTGTGGCTGATGGACCGTTGGAGGATGATTGTCTCCATGTCGCAGCAGAGGTAACCACTCATTTTCCTTCATAGCATTGCATGTATAACAATCATAAGTATGTGACTAATAATATATACTCCCTCCGTCCCAATATAAAAGGCACATTTGCGTTTGGGGAGTTTTTAAGGGTGAACACTGTTTGAACACTGTTTGACACTGTTTAGACACTGTTCGGCACTGTTTGGACACTGTTTGGCACTGTTTTGCACTGTTTTGTTTGCCAAAAAGGGAAATGTGCCTTTTATATTGGGACGGACCGAAAAGGAAAGTGTGTCTTTTAAATTGGGACGGAGGGAGTATTATATAATTTTTTTTGTAGCTTGTGTTGAAGATCTCCGGGAAGAATCGTCAGCATGTTGTGCGCGAGCAAGAGCTATTAACGTTGCTTTCTGAAGAGCGGGCTGCCCATAAGAGATTGATGAGCGAAGTGATTGAAGCTCACACGGTCAGGGAGGCACAGGAGAGGGATGCTCACGCTGCCGAGTTAACCAAGGTCTGCGCTGAGCGGGAACACTACATTGATTCCCACCTAGAAGAGATCGCTGAACGTTGGCTTAAAACTCCCGCCAGCGTCGATAGACTTGACAAAGACGGTTTACTGTGCTACAATTTGGGGTAATATACCAAACAACAGGAAATTTATGCTGTTTTGAAGGCCAAGCACGGCGCCTCATGCATTGTCGATTGGGGGCTTCCTTTTGAGATTCCTAACCCAGAGCCTGAGAATGTCAACTCTTCTTCCAGAGTCGTTCCCTTGGGCGAGCTCCCTAGGGGTGAAGATACTGATCACCCCATAACTTCCGAAGAAGTAGCAATGCTGGGGCTTTAGCTTGAGCGATCCCCTCTTTGACCATCTATGCCTTGGAGAGTGTTAGAGTTAGACTACCATAACGTGGTCTGCATGTTCTTTTTCTTTAATACCTAATTTGTTAGACCGTTTTTTGATTTTCAAGCAAATAATTATCTTGACAATGTAATATTTCCTTTTAATATCGTTTTTTTTTTAAATATTGTTACCTATACGGGTGATCACGTTGCACACCGCGCCCTGCTCAAGTGGGGTGTGCGTGGTCACTGTTTTCGTTGTCGTATTATATGATGGTATAGCGCTGAGCATAGAACTCGGCGTCTCCCCCTCCCCAAACTTCTCCCGATGTCGGATATGAGAACTTTGGTTCAATATGACGGTACTGTACATTACTAGGGGGTTACCATGGACAGCAAAAGGCACAAGTTGTCGGGGACTCCTCCTCCTTTGCTACGTTGTGCGCATCACTCAGTAGTGACCCCAGAGCCATGTTGAGTGAGCTAACCTGATGACCAGGTTTGCACAGGGCACACAACGTCTTTCGGGAAATATGGTCGCGCCTAGGGATTCCTACATGCACATCCTAACCATGCGACCCACGGTTAGGCATTGCAAGGAACATGCTCAGGGCATATTCCTCTTTTTTATGGTAACACATTGAGTGTCGCCCAAGCTTTTATTGTTATCAATATTGTACTAGAATATCTTCCCATAGCGACCGCGGAGGGTCTTTTTTTTGTGCGAAACGTTCTCATAGTAATGGTGACGGTAACAGACCGTGCAAACCATAGTACTTTATTGATGAGTAGATGTTGAACTTACATTATAGTGGTGAGATAAAACACCAAAAGAAGTATATTACTGGTAGAACTTGATTAGGTGCTCAGCATTCCAGGTCCTCTCGATCTCCTTCCCTTTAGGTGTCTGAAGTTTGAAGGTCCCTGGACGGATCACTGATTTTATGATGTAAGGACCTTCATAATTCTTTGAAAACTTTCCGCCTTCCAAGGGTTTACTCACTTCTCTTTTCCTCAAGACAGTCTCCGACGTCAAAGTTTCGCTTGCGCACCCGAGAGTCGTGGTATGCCTTAACTTGCCATCGATAGTTCTCTGCGCGGCAGAAAGCCGCTTCTCTTCTTTCTTCAATGAAATGAAGTTCGGTTGTCATGATCTCCTCGTTCATTTCTGGATCATACTGTTCCTCTCGATGACTACGGAGCATTACCTCGGTTGGCGCCCTCGCCTCAAAACCGTATGCAAGAGCAAATGGTGTTTCGCCAGTTACCTTCCTCGGCGTAGTCCAGTACGCCCGGAGTATTTGTGGTAGTTCCTCAGCCCACTCGCCTCCGGCTGCTACGAGTTTATTTTTCAAACTATCCATAATTGTGCGGTTTGCATTTTCCACCTGCCCATTTGCCTGAGGGTAAGCGACCGATGCACTGTTGTGTTTGATTCCCCAACTCTCACAAAAGTCATTAAACCCAGATGCTCCGAACTGCCTTTCATTATCGGTTATGATTTGTTGGGGTACTCCGAAACGGCAGAGGATGTGTTTCATGACAAATTTCTTGCATTGTCCTTCGGTGATGCTCGCCAAAGGTATCGCTTCGATCCATTTGGTAAAGTAGTCTATGGCCACAATAACCCATCTGACGCTCCCGGTCCCCCTTGGCAAGGCCCCCATAAGATCAATTCCCCATCTAGTGAATGGTATGGCCGTGTTGATGGGGGTATAATACGTTGCTGGGCGTTCCGGAGATTTCTGAAACTCTTGGCACACGACACACCTTTTAACAAAGTCTGCACAATCTTTTACAATGGTTGGCCAGAAGAATCCTTGTAGAATTACCTTTCGTGACATGGTGTGCGCCCCCTGATGCGCTGAGCATGTCCCTGCGTGTATCTCTTCCATGGCAGCCATGGCCTCATTCGGTCGTAGACATTTGAGGAGTGTGCCATTGTAAGACCTTTTATACAGCACATCATTTAAAATCGTATAACTTGGCGCCCTCATCCTGATCACCTTGGCTTCGACTTCCTCAGCAGGCAATATTCCCTCACGAATATACTTGGTGAGGTGGTCTATCCAGTCCTCGTTTCTAGCAATTATGGTGTGCACAGGACACGCATATATGCTAGAAGTGTCTAGTTCTTCCACTCTTGCAATCCTTGAGATCCTCTCAGGGGTCTCTGCGCTGAGTTTGGACAGCATGTCGGCCTCAACGTTCTGTCCCCTCGGAATTTGTTCAATCTCATAAGCTATGAACAATTTTAAGAGTTCCAATGCAGCATCGTGGTATTGCCTCATGCGTTCCTCCTTTGCCTCAAATTCGCTTGTGATTTGTCCCACAACTAGCTTTCAATCACATCGGATCTTTACCTTCTCCGCCCGCATGTTCGCCGCTAGGCGCAAACCACATAACAGGGCTTCATACTCCGCTTCATTATCAGATACTTTAAAATTGAACCGGATGGCATAGTAGGCCCTAAAGCCTTCGGACGTGGTGAGGACCACTCCTCCGCCACAAGATTTGGCCGCGGATGAGCCGTCCGTGGACAGTATCCACCACTCGGAATCATGGTCTTCATGCCTCGTCTTCGTTGCTTCTTCACGTGCTGTGCATTCCACAATGAAATCCGCCAGAGCTTGCCCCTTGACTGAAGGGCGAGGCTTCACTTCTATGTGGAATTGACTAAGGTATACTACCCATTTGACCATCCTTGATGATGCTGTGGGACTCCTCATCAACGCGTCAGAGGTTGGTGTGACAAAATATGAACGGGGTGAGCTTGGAAGTATTGCGTCAGTCGTTTGATTGTCCACACCACTGATAAAACAGTTTTCTCTATGGTAGTGTACCGTAGCTCAGCATCCCTCAGGGTTTTGCTGACATAGTAAACAGGTTTCTGAGCACTACCCTCTTCATGTACCAAGACAGAGCTTATTGCACTCGGGGAGACCCCCAAATATAGATAAAGGGTCTCCCCTGTCTCTGGTTTAGATAACACCGGAGGAGATAAGAGATATTGCTTCAATCCTTCGAACGAAGTTTGACACTCCTCAGTCCATACAAAACCTTTTGACTTCTTCATGATGTGGAAGAACGGTGTGGCCTTCTCAGCTAGTTTTGATAAGAAGCGGTTTAGTGCTGCTAAGCGTCCTGTTAATCGCTGGACCTCCTTAACATTACAGGGAGGCTCCATGTCCAGAATGGCTTTAACCTTCTCTGGATTTGGCTCAATTCCTCTCCGGCTCACCAAGTATCCTAAAAACTTCCCGCCTTGCACCGCAAAAGTGCATTTCTTCGGATTGAGGTGTACATTGAATTTCTCCATGATTTTGAATACCTCTTCCAAATCCATAGCATGCGTGCTCGATTTTTTACTCTTCAAAATCATATCATCCTCGTAAGCCTCCATGGTGCGGCCTAGGACAGGTCTGAAAAGCTTAGAGATCATGCGGGTGTACGTTGCCCCAGAGTTTTTTAGTCCAAACGCCATGACCAAGTAACAGAAAATGATTTCTGGAGTCATGAACGAGGTCTTCTCTGCATCCTCCTCATGCATGCGAATCTGATGGTATCCACTGAAGGCATCCATGAAACTCATCAGCTCACACCCCGCTGTTTCGTCCACCAACTGGTCGATGTTAGGCAATGGGAATGGATCCATCGGGCATGCCTTGTTGAGATCTGTGTAATCAACACACATCCTCAATGTTGGGGGTTTAGGTGCCAATACCACGTTTGCTAACCATTCTGGGTATTTAACATCCTTGATATGTCCAATCTTTAACAAGGTGCCCACTTCTTTCCTTACGAACTCCCGCCTGTCCGAGGACATGTAACGCTTCTTTTGTTTCACTGGTTTTGACGTGGCATCCACGTCCAGGCGATGAGAGATAACATCTCTACTGATGCCTGGCATGTCTTCTGGTCCTCTCGCAAATACACCTTGGTACATGGTCAAGACGGCTATGATTTCGGCGCGGAGCTCATTCCCCAATCTGGTTCCTATCTTAACCTTCCGCTCTTGTGTTTCGGGGTCAAGGGTGACATCCTCTGTCCCTTCTGCGGGTTCTGCACAGGGCCTTTGTTCTTCATCCTGTAGATATTGTTTGGCGACAGGGTTTACCTGGAGGTCATGACGCCCCACCTTCTTTGTGATTTTTATGTAGCATCTTCGGGCGAGCTTCTGGTTCCCGCGTGCTATCCCCACTCCGGTCGATGTTGGGAACTTAATACAGAGATGTGTCGGGGACACAATGCATTGCAAATCTTCCATCCCTGGTCGTCCGAGTATAAGATTATGTGCACATGCCAATCGAACGACTATGAACTCCATGTCGAGTTTCACTTTGTGGGACGTGTCCCGTACTTCCACTGAGACTGTGATGACTCCTTCTGCCTCGATAGAGTCACCCGTGAACCCAGACAATGGAGTCTTGATCGGATGGAGCTTTCCTTTGGACAACTTCAGTTTCTCGAAAGTGTCGATGTACATTATGTTCACGGAACTTCCCGTGTCGACCAGGGTACGGTGTATGACAAGATCATTAATCTCCATTTTGATAACCATGGCATCCCGGTGTGGGCTTGGACATGGTGGTAGGTCATCATCAGTAAAACATATAGGCTCACGTCGTACCTTTTTTTCATTGGAGAGTGCATGATCTCACCAATATACAATTGACGGGCCCACTTCTCTCCCCCACATATAGTCACCACCCGCATTACCTCCATAAATGAAATTGATGTCCTGGTGTCTTCTCTCCCGTTTTGGCCCTGGTTCTTCCGAGGCCTCTTCGTCGCTCTCATTCCCGATATGCCTTTTCTCTGCCATGCGTGTCTCCTGCTGCGTGCACGCCACTTGTTCTGAAGGCTTCCTCCATACATGGTTGGGTTGTTGCGTAGCCCCCTTGACGAAATTATTCGAATGACTCCTTTGGATCAGTCTTTCAATTTCTCGTTTCAAGGTGAAGCACTCCTCTGTATCATGACTATCAACCCGGTGATAGCGACAATACTTTTTAGCACCCGAGACAGCGTACACTTCACGCTTCGGCCTCGGTCCTTGCATGAGACCCGTACGCTCGGCATAGTCCATGATCGTGCCCACCGGATGGGTTAGGGACACTGGG